CAACACAATTTGGCCAAGAGCATTAAATTGAGCAAAATTTATGCATGCATTTGTATGTGCATTAGGGTGGTCTAAAAAAAAAGTAAAGTCGGTATTATAATGCTCTCACCCTCTAGGATTGTTCTATACCGAAGAAAAAAACATACTCAGGCATTATAGATGGGGAAAAAATAGTTTTTCGTAGAAATGGTTTAGAATTCTTTAAGATCAATATTTTTCAATCGAAAAACTCTGTTTTAATACTACTTGTTTATTTAACCATTTCTTAATATCAACTATCTTTATAGGTCCCCCTANGCGGAAAATGTCCATCTGCAAAATTATGAATTTACTGATGGCGACCGCATCCTAGGTGCGCAAAATCATTTAGTAAGACCAATTTTAGATTTTTTCAGCTATGATTGACCTGCATTGAAATAATATTCATTTTCTAAGAAGCATAGGTGTTTATATATATTCTTTTACTTCTTAAAGGTATGAAAAAATACCCAAATTGTGTGGTAACACCCTTTGCCCTGAAGACTATTACATATTTTGTCACTCGCATACAAATTGTGCCAGAAAACAAATAACCTCAAAGCACCAAAAAAAAATTGTTACTTTACAGAGTGTTTCAAAAAACAACACAATTTGGCCAAGAGCATTAGATTGAGCAAAATTTATGCATGCATATGTATGTACATTAGGGTGGTCCAAAAAAAAAGTAAAGTCGGTATTATAATGCTCTCACCCTCTAGGATTGTTCTATACCGAAGAAAAAAACATACTCAGGTATTATAGATGGGGGAAAAAATTGGTTTTCGTAGAAATGGTATAGAATTCTTGAAAATCTATATTTTTCGATCGAAAAACTCTGTTTTAATACTAATTGTTTATTTAACCATTTCTTAATATCAACTATCTTTATAGGTCCCCCTAAACCCCAAAAAATGCTATGGAGGCACAATTTGGTACTATTCCATGAAGTCTTCTGAAGAGAAACAGAGTTTTCCGATCGAAAAATATTGATTTTCAAGAATTCTATACCATTTTCGCAAAAACTTGTTTTTTCCCCTATAGAATACATGGACAACTTTTAGCGACCTTTAAATATTTTTCGATTTCAAAAAAAATCCTAGATGTGAGAGCATTCAGAATCCGACTTTACTTTTTCACGCGCTTTTTTGCACCACCCTAATGCACATTGTACATACATTGTATGTATGTATGTGTACATTCATGGTATTGTCCGTCAGTTTTGTTTACAGTTTTATTGTTGACAAATTGCCATTTTATGGCTGTTCAGTTGAATGACTAAATATTTTACAAAAACAACAATACAAAGAGCAACATATTGTGACAAAAAAAAATGTGGTACTTTTTCCATTGCAACTTGTTTTGAGCCCACTCGGCACAACCGGACAATAGTAAATTAGTTTTTTCATGGCTCTCTTCTTGCATGCCAGACATTTGTTTGAGCCATAAAAATGCCTTGTAGCCAATGACCACCACACTTTGAAGTGATTTAGTATACGGATAAGTAACTCCTGGTAGGGTTACTGGGCGGTAAGCTAAGCACTGGCTGGCTACTGGACGATCCCAACTACTCCACATTGCCTGTCGCTGCCTCCTCCGACTGAGCAGTTATGGTTTTTATTTGGATTAGATACTCGTATTGTATTACAGTTAAAAAATAACATACATATGTCAGACATGAATAAATTCATAAACCCTTGCTTGGCTTTGGTGCACGTGTCCTTTACTGCATTTGCATGTGGTAAAATTCTTATTACAGCCTAATATTCGTACTGTACCCATGGGCTGCATATGTTACAAGTGTTTCCGAGCGATTTTGTTGCAGTCGATTCACAGCTTTCAAATATTCAAATCTCTACTCCGTTGAGTATTGCTAGTTACAAGCAATCGCATTGTGTGTACATATGTGTAGCCATTATGTGGCTAACCCAAGTATGAGCCTGTTATCCTGGCTGAGTGCCAAAAAGTAGCTTAGTTCTAAATTTTTGTAATCTCTTCTTTTTATTTAAAACCATGATTCAGCATTCAGACTTTATTCAAATTATTGCAAATAAAACCGACAAAAGGATGTCATAGGAAATATGTGCAAAAAATAGGACAAAAAGAAACGTTAAAGGATGACAAAATCTAACGGCTTCGAATTTACTGCAAAGTCAATGACTTCATTCTTTTTGTTTTCGATACTTACATATGTATTTACTACGTTTTAGAAAGAAAATGGATGAAAGAAGAAAAAAGGGTTTCCGTTTTTTTTGGGTAGAGTTTTTGAATTGGCGTGCATTGATATGTACATAGGTACTTAATTATATATATCTAATAAAAATACAGTACAACAAAAAATACCATCGTTTACGAGTTAAGATAAAAAATTAATAGCCTTGATCAAATGCACGAAAAAAGGATATGCCATAAATTAAGGATATGAATAGTTTTATAAGTACATGTACACATAAATCAGCAGCAAATACATGCATAGTACATAGATACTAATGTGATTGTCTATCCTGTCAATTTCCCAATTTAAGTTCTCTTGAAACGTCCTTTAATATTTTTGATAGAACTTTGGTTAGGTTCATCAGGCCGGCGTTGAGCCGCACATAGACCTGTGGGTCCTTAGCGTTGCTGGTTGGAGCCCGGTTTTACGAGTTAAAGCTGAAGCACAACACCGGCGAACGGCAAATTTTTCGTCGCGAATGTTCGCCGAGATAATTAAAACACACTGATTTATATGAGAACGCGCACAACCAAAGCAAACGACGAAGTTTGCTCGACGACTGTTCGCGACGATAGATTTATTTCTATCGCCGCGGTTAACGGCAACGATTTTTTTATCAGAGATTAATCTAGTGAAACGTAAGTTTACTAGTAGTTATATTTAAAGACTATTTCTATATTTTAAACTTCTTCTTGCTGGTATTTTCCCTCTTCGTTATAAAAGCTTCCTTCTTGAAACATGGTCACTTTATCAGCTGACAGCATTCGAACCACTCGATACCGATCTATTTGTGTTTCAGTAAGCGAATTAGCTGGGCGAAAGTTGGTCGTCGGCATCGCTCTGCTGGGCGAAATTTGCCGTTCGCCGGGTATTGTGTTTCAAGCATTAAAGTAGACATCACAAGGATGTCAACCCTTTTTGCGAATTGAAGTAGACATTTCAGTCCTAATTTTAAGATGTCCTCTAACTTCTCGAATTGGTAGGCTCGCAAGCATTTTAGTCGTGTTTTCGACAGTGCAGGACATCGGCAGAGAAGATGTTCCAAGGTTTACCTGTTCTCCTGGGTCCACATTGGTGATACCCATTTTTTGTGCATGAGCAGCCACCCGAAAATGTTCCGTAAGCAATCCGGTAACAATTCGGCAATCGTAACAAGAAGCGAGTATAGTTGATTCCGCCGTTTTTGCACATAATTTTTGCAGATTTGCTGGTGGTAAACTCATTCCATCTAGCTCTGAACAAGTGTTGAAGTGGTCTACGAATGTAGTTTGTCTATTCGAGAGTCAGGTCGGTGGCTTTCTTGACAGTCTCATCTGCTATTTTATTACCCTCTATCCCCTTGTAGCCGGGTACCTAATAGATGTTCGGCTAGCCTGTCAATGGCTCCCCGGCTGCGAGGGACGTTTCTGGATGAAATACTATATGAGGTAACTGCCTTAGTTGCCACCTGACTGCCTACGTATAGGTTTCGTTTTGAGTTGATTATCGTTTCGGTTTAGTCTAGCTCTGCTGCTATATTCAGTGCGAAAACCTCTGCCTGAAATATGCTGCAATGTTCAGGTAACCTTACTGCCCGCCTGACGTACAATCCCGGCACCCACTCCCATTACCATTTTAGAGAAGTCCGTGAAAATGTTTAGAGACCTACGGCTAGGTTTCATTTCCTTGCGTCGACCCTCCTCCCAAAACGTTGTGCGTAAGCTTCGTTCCCCATTAAAGCTATGTGCCATGTAGTCCGTGCTTGCCGCCCCAATTAAGCTGTGTCAAAATATTCTGAAATTGAATTCTCCTATGGCCGTGAATCTACCAGCCGTTCATTGGAACCTAAGCGCTCCCGTGATGCACAGTACCGCGGCATTGTGACATATCAGTTAGAAAAACATCTCTCGCAGAGCCAAAGTTCTGCGTGAAAGTCTTGCGGGTCCATTATACGCTTGAAGTGGAAGTCAGAAAATAATTTTCTAGATGTGAACATTTTGCAGCCCTCAGTTAACTCAAAAAGTCGAAAGTACAAATGTCGTTCATCCTACCGAACCAATGCAGGAAGCGCCTTATTCTGAACGGAGGATAAATCTGCTTAGGTATGGGTCTACGGACCAGTCTCATCACTCCAGGGAGGTATCCTGGAGTGCCGTTCAATGATTTCTGCAGGAGCTGCAGAGACGAGAAGGAGCCTGAATCAGTAAGACACCCACTTTGTGAACGCCCCATACTGGGGAGTAGTATACTGAGGTTCAACGGAAATATAAAGTGTAGTACGACCCATCCGCACTTGCGATGAACAACTGCCATACATAACTTCGTACACAAAGAGGCAATTGGTGATGTTTTTTGGTCTGGGAAAAACCCAAAATTAATTGTATTACGCGGTCCTTGGTTCAGAAAAAAATCCAAAAGTAATTGAAAAATGATTACCTCGAGTTTTATCTTCCACAAAAGGGTTATCAAGACTAAAAATAATCGCCTTGAAAGGAAGTAGCCAGTAAATATATCTTGCTCTTGGTTAATCACAAAAGTTTAAGTTTCCTGAGGAAAATGCATCCTCTTCTGTAATTCTGGGAAGTTGCACTCAGGTCATAAGTATTTTCCTTTCTCTATAATTACATACACAATGCACACATTCATATATAAAATGCGGGTATTTTTTCATTTTTCTACATTGCAAAGAAAGAAAATCTCAAGCACTTAGCCAATAAGTAATCTGCTTATATCCGCTAATAAATTACAAATCAACTTATAAGCTTGCCATTTGGTATTTATACGTCTTCTTTGTTTCATTCATTTCTTTCAGCAAACAACTATAGAAAAAGGACGACGAGGGAGATTGAAAGCGCAAACGAAAAGAAGTTCAACAAAACTGGAGCAGTTCATAGTTTTGGTTATTTACAAATCTTGTTGATTTGTTGATTTCGAGAAAAGTTGTATCATTAGCAAATCAGGGCAGGAGCCGAAAAGACGACAACCGCAACGCCAAAGGAAGTAAACAAATACACATAAACAGAAAAGCGAAGTCACTAAGAAATTGGGAAAGGGACGGTAGTGGTGGAATTAGGAACGAAAAGTTTGCGCAGCAACAAAAGTTGAACAGCAGAAGTTACGAGGAATAATGACATCAAGAATGGTAGGTTTAGTAGCAGAGGAAAATTCAATTGTGTTGTAGTTGGTACTAGCAGCAAAATCGAATCATCAGAGTAAACACTGGGGCCATAATATCAAGACAAGTACGAGGACAAACCCGCCAGCAACAGCAATAAAAAAGAGGCGCACGCCAGCATAATCTTAGTAGAGAATAAACCAAGAAAACTAACAACATCAACATCAATATTGTATAGTAGCCAGACGTAAAAGTGCCGAAAGATGGACAACGGCAAAGATCAAAGCATTAAACAGCTAAAGAAATTAAAAAGTTGAAGGATAAGTAAAAGAACACAAAAAGAAGGCAAAGAGTAATCACAAGAAGTAAGAAGCCAGAAGCATCGCTCACCATCCGCGAAAACATCTGCAACACAGGCCAAGTCAAAAAGACTTGTGCAACACTAGAGCAGCAGCAGCGGCGGTGTCGGCGTTGTTGGCGTTGTCGGCGTTGGCAGCTGTGGCGCCAATACAGCACAGGATAATGTGCGCGCTGACTGTCAAGCCGCATAAGCAATGCCACAAATGGACGGAGGAGCAATGTGATGACAGCAGAAACAGCAATATCGACAACAACTACAACAATCTCAATGCCTGTGACGAGGAAAATGTTCAACAGCAAATTCAGGAACCAAACCAACAATTGCAACAAACACTCGTGCATGAATCAATGTTGGGAAGACAACATCAACGGAAACAGCGTGACAAAAGGCAATGGCAGTCAACGTGCAGTACGCGCCGTCGAGCAGGAATCAAGTGGAAAATTATAATATCAACAATAATTTTGCTATTATGCCGCATAAGTGAGTACAATACATACAAATTAAGCGAATGAATGGCAAAGTCACTTACATATGTACATATATACTTATGTACGTACACAGTACACACCTACCGACAGAAATAAATGAAAAAATAAATAAAGCAATTGCATCTGCGAGGAATGTAGTAACAACACAGCAGCAGCATTAAACACAATACGTTGCATGTAATTGTACACTTAATAGGAGCACTTGAGTATAAAAACAATGTACATATTTATGTACTTACAAAAATATCCTTAATTCTTTCGAGTAGATCTGTATAGATATTGTGCGCTGAGCACTGCACAAAGCACCAACATACATACATACATACGACTTTGTTTGTGAAATACATATGTACATAAGGTGCATTTTTTTGTAAGCGAGTGACAAAAGAACGCTCAACTCGGATAAAATTTCCCTTTAGCTACTTAAGCAACCCTTTTTGGTAGCTGGCAAGAAAATGTAATTAGTTTAACGGGATTTAAATAAAAAAAAATTGAAATGAGTAATTATGCGAGGTATTTGCGTAATATGCATACTTTTTTAAAATATATTTATATAAAAATTTCCCTCTCCACTTTTCCATTAACAATTTACAATGGAGCAGTTTTTTCACTTAACAACACTACCCTTTGAGGTCGCTTTTTTTAACCGACCTGGCTGAACTCGGATAAATAGCCGAGTTTGTGTTGTTGCTTTGTGTGTATTTCGTCATTTGAGCGAGTGTTCTTTTGTTGCAAAAGAATGCGCCTTTAGTATGTATGTGGCCAAAAGGAAGTGTGTAAGGAAAAGAAAACATAATTGGTTGATGTAAATATCCACATAATACAGATCAGCCAAAGAAATGAAGAAATATAAAACATATTTGTTACCAGGGCCGGGCAGTGGCAGGGGAAACGCTTGACATGCATCACCTCTTCCCCTACCATGCAGCTATAGCAGAAGTCGTGTGCGTGGTAGCCCATCCGCTTAACGCGTATTCTTATTAAGCAGTGCCGAAAAATAATACAGCACTGATAATGGGATGATCAATTAAGATTAGATCTATTCTCGTTGTTGCATATCCAGGTTTGCTTAGTAACCGAAAGAAAGATTCTCTGGCTTATCTGTCTTCTTTTATGCGCCTGCGATCCGAAAAGGTTGGATTGCACATTTTAAGCAGCTTCTATAAGCCTTTCGGTAGACATCTTCCGCTTGCGAAACTTCGTTCTTGGCACACAAGTGTGTCCTTGTCTGGGGCAACCACATAATTCTGAACTAACCTGAGTTTTTTTGTCTTCAAATTTTTTTTTCCAAACCTCTAGGAAATTGTCGAGGTTTTTGTAGAAGATTCTTGCCCCGTCTAGTCATATTTCATTATACCCCCACCCACTTGTTTCCTGCGTGCGCACCTAGTTGAAACTAATTCAGCTTCAGATTTATGAAAACCCATAATTCGTGTATGCTTGCCTACTAATAAAATTTTGCAACAAGATTGCTAACAATTTTTCATCTAGAAAATGCCGGTCACGTCGCATCACTCGCCAAGAGCTTACTTACCTGTAGTCCAAAGTACGTACCTAAGTTATCCTTGGAAATTGCCTGAATACTCTGTTAGCGAAGTACAATTACTCATAATGCTCTCTGCGTGCTCTTGTAGTTTTAAAATAACATACATATGTACATATGTACGTATGATAAATGCATACATTCGTTGAAGCACATTACAATACAATTGTAGATAAAATATACACAAATAGACTCCTAGCCTTACGAACAAATAACAAAAAAAAAAAATACCAGAACAAAATGTAAAACAGCAATAAAAGCCAAACGAAAGAGAAATAAATAAATGGACATAACTGTAAAGCCAAATAAATTACAGCAATTTATAATTTTTCCAGCTTTCCTTTTCACATTTCGCCCACAGCTTTTATACGAAATCTCTTTCATATTCCAGCTCTTATTTTCTCTGTTTTGTTCTACTCCTTTCATGCTCTTGGCTGTTTTCCATTATGCTTATCTGTGGCTGGAAATATTTTGCATTGTCTGCATTGTCGCCAACAAAAGGTCACGTGCTCGCCATTCGAAAGGGTCGTCTCATGTCCCCAAGCTCATTCACTGCCTTAAGCGGAGATCTTCATGTGCAGATACAATTCAGCGGTGAAGATGTGGCGGCTGCCGTTGCACTCGGTAATGGTGCTGTGGGCGTGATAGGAGATGGGACTGATGGCGGCCATGAAGTGCCGGCTGATGGAGCAAACGTGGAAAGCACGTCACAGGAACAACAACGGGCCGAACGACAACGACTACAGCACGCACGCTGAATCCATTAGATGGGATGAGTTTTCGTCAAGTGGGTGGTGCATTGGTGGATTGGGTGCTGTGGAGAATACCATTACAAGCACTTTGGTAATTAGTAAAATCATTGATGATTTTGCGGATACTATGGAGACGACGACCAGGAATGATACAGCCGCATATGCGTCATCCATGGAGAGTGCACAGTTCAATGGCAGCTTAACGAGCATATCGAGTGCGGAAGTAACAACGCCATCACCGTCTAATTACACCCACAATCAGCTTGACGCAACGAGAGTGTTGCACCGCAAGCGCAAAGAAATTGTTCAGAATATTCCTGTCTTCCCCGATCCGCGAAACAACGTCACACAAATATCCGTGCCCTGTCAGACATTCACACGCGGTGGTCTCTACGAAATGCAGGTTGTCACCAACTTAAAATCAACCGCGACCGTGTCTAACGTCAATAGCAGTGCTCATGAACCGCTACCCACGATGACCACGACTACGTTGATGCCCGTCGTCGATGAGCGCTTGCGTCAAACACTCGACGTCCGATGGCCCAGCGCTGACATGCAAGTGGAGCCGACACGCTTGCGCACCTACCCCGAGCAGCCGGTTGTGGTGACGTTGCGCTTTCCGGAGGTGAATTGTGAGCGCGCATGCATGAGAGCAACTCACTAGATTTGCCGCAATTTTGGCTGGAGCTTATCTACTGCGGCAAGCAGCGTAACTGCAATGAAGTGTTGCCACAAAACATCAGCAAATCGAGTATCTTGTATATGGAACAAGTGCGTGGCTATCCCAAGCATAAAGCCGTGCATCTGGGCTGCGAACTTTTTGGTTTGGCCGGTAATTACGCAGTGCAGTTGCGACCGATGGTGCCGGCGCCGAATGTGCCCATTACGCGTCGCTTTCTCAGCGTTGACTGGAGTGATAAGTTTGTTTTTAATGTTTACGCGCGTAGCATTTTTCCCTGCGACCCACATACGGGTATTGGTGTGCTATATGAATATCCGTCTTGCATACTCGAGCAAGGCGATCGGGTGCGAGTTTTTGCAAAATTGCGCGCGGATGTGGCGTCACTTAAGCCGCCTACAACATTGCACTATGTGGCTGAACAACGCGTGGTGAAGAGTCATCATTCGCTCTACTTTAGCTGTGAGCTGTTCACTGAGAAATTTGTGGAGTACTGCTTCGTCTATGTAAGCCAGGCTATTTCCGGGGCAGTAGCTGATGTACGGATGGACTGCGTGCCGACATTGCCAGTTAGCGGTAAGTACAACATTACTCAATCAAACAAAATCTATAGTTAATTATGCGGAAAGTAAAGTTGGGCTTCTGCGTAAAACTGTCGCGCTAAGTACGTAAACCTTAGAAAAGATAGGCAACTTATTTGAAACATTTCTTAACTTTCTTTTGTCGGAACTAATGGGCCAGACGCTGAAGAAAAAAAATAAAAATTACTGTAGAAAACCTGTCCAAAACTGTAGAAACATCCATTTAAAAATCATCCATGTTTGTTTCTTACAGCGACCCTTGTTGGTTCCTAAAGACCTGCGAGTGTTCATCTCTCAACACACCGCTGCCAAATGTCTCATGTAGGGGGGTTTCATGTATGCCTATCACAGTTAGATGTGCATATATACTAAATGCCACGAAAACTGACCAGTCAGTAGTCCCACAAGTTTTTTGCAATCCCATATGTTCACTGAAAGAAAATACCTAGTAACAACCACCGGCTTTTGCGGAGCGAAATATTCATCCAGTAACTGCCTGTGGCTTTGGATAACCGAAGATGGGACTATAACTGGTTGTCAACATTGCAGTACCTCTTCAGCAAACGCAACGGTGGCCTGCTGTCCTGTGGCAATTTCCGTAGAAGCACATGCTTATTTTGGTGGCAATAAGATAGTAATCTGAGGCGATGTTTAGTCCTCCATCGATTATCGATTTGGTTCTATCTTAAGTCCGCTTTAAGCGCTCATAGAAGAGGTGTTTGGCCACATACTCCTAGCCTTCCATTGGGGCGAAAATGAACCCGATAATGAAAATTTAAAAAAAAAAATAAAATAAAATAAAAATAAAAAAATCAAGGGACACTACTCTCAGTAGCGCACCCTTACATGATAGCTATAGTAGACACCAGAAGGGCCTACGCGGTTTCTTAAATGACGGTGATGTCAGCCTTAGTCCATCCTGAGAACATCAACCAGCTGGGCTCAGGTAACTTCCTTTTTAAGGTTCCGGACCTTGTGCATGTTCTCAAATAACAGTCCTTTAAAGTTTGTTGCGGTCATCATCAAAATAGGGGGTGTCATCCGGGGCTTCGTTTTCCTTTTAATTGGAATTCGATTTTACGTAGCGGTTCCCAAACGAAGCGCACAAAAGATGCTGGCTTTATTTTAATAGGTACACGTTTACATACCACTACCACTTTCCTTTAGCTGCACCTCGCGGTGGGCAAACGCTGTAGACTTCAATGAACCTTTCAACCGAATGAGTCGTAGTTGCCTCGACATTAGGTTAGACTAATCCTGAAATCCTGAAATTGGCAACTGTAGAATCAGAGTGTCACGGTCAAGTTCCCTATGTGTAGGAGGTTGCCGCCTGAAATTCGGCATGGAAAATAACGTCCAGACCTGAATATTTCTTTCAGGGAGTCCGACTCCAGCACCACCTATACGAACCAGTCTCTTTTGATTGCAATTTTCGCTGTGTACTACATCACAATATCATATCAAAGCATATCATTACATAGCTTATCGCATAACAGGCCTATGAATAAACCCCTAAGCACGTTGTAGAGCTTGTTGTATTTAAATCCGAAATTTTATATATATATATATGGTTCATTATGTCTTTAAAAACAACTTTTGTTAGCAAAATAATATTTTTATTTTTAGTCTTCTTCATTACCAATATAAGTACGTACAAATAATAACACTTGAAATTTAATTTTTGGAAAAATTTTATAAAAATACAGACCTTTTACTCGATTTGTAAAAAATTTGAACTTCAAATAAATTTAAGTGAAAGGTATGTGATTTTAAGAAAAGGCAAAAGCTTAATTTTTATTCATACGGCCTAATGTAATTTTGTTCTCTTTATAAAAAAAAATGTGTTGTGTGTGATTGATTTTCGTATACTTAGTACATTAGTGTTAGTGTAATTAGTAATTTAAGTATTATTTATTTTTCACTCATAAATATTTCGTTCATGTACAAAAATACCGCCTTTCTAACGAAAATTGCAATATTTAAGGAACTATTAATTGCAAATAATTTGAAAACACTACCTCTTTGACCGAAATTAAATTTTCTGTAAAATTAGTACCTGATCGTTAGTATTTCACCTTTCAGTATTATATTAATGTACAAGACTGACAATATTTTTCACTAAAATTGCAACTAACTTGTCCTGCAAAATTTTATATAAGGACCTTTTTTTTTGTACAGAACTAAATTGACGATCCAAGTAAACTAAGAAAAAAGAAAATTTAACACCTTGAACTTTGATGAACTAGGGCTAGCCTAAAATATTGACCGTAAATTTTTATCTTAAGCACAGATTTTTTGAAGCATACCGAAACATATTTTTTGCTTTTAATAAACAATAACACACAATAATTAAACAATAAAAATTCAATAAAATTAGATTTTCTGCTCACCCTAATGCTCAGGCCTAGAGCATGATCTGGTCTTTCAAAGATTCAGCAACATTTTGACCATCCTCTAGCAGTCAAGCTTGGACGAAGGGAAATATATAAATCGGCCGATTTGAAACGTTGAAATGCCGACATCATTTTATGTAGAAAGAATGCTTTCAGTCTTCATCAATTGACATTCTAGTGCCAGTTAGAGTCATAGTAATTTAAGCTAAATTACTTAATACTTTTTAGGAAAACAATGCTCCACATTTTGAATCAATCCATATACAGTATCGGTCATATCTATAGCACGCCATTTCAAAGTGATATTGTTTATTTAGTGATTATGTTTATTTATATATTTTTAAGAATTTTCAATTAAAATATAGTTCTTTCTCTAACATAACCCATATAAACCCAAGTTTAACAATTTGTAGAAAACTACAAAAAAGTGCAACAAATTTTCATAAAAATTTCAAACTTTTTTCTCCGAGGTGTTAGAATTTTTCTGAATACACAGTTTTATAGCATAATCAATTTTGTCTGATAGATGTGCAAGTTTCAAGTGGCTAGAAGTTACCGTTGATTTTTTAGATTTTTTTTCGCCAAAGGTGTTGCGGTTTTCTTCCATATACAAATAAATTGAGTTTATTCATTATATGGAAGCCAATGCGACAAAAAAAATCTAAAAAATTAACGGTAATTCGTAGCCACTTGAAATTTGCACACTATCAGACTAAAATTGCAGGGGCTAAAAAACTGTGTACTCAAAAAAATTCTAACACTTCCGAGAAAAAAGTTTGAAATTTAGGTTAAATTTTGTTTCACTTTTTTGAAGTTTTCTACAAATTGTTTAACTTGGGTATATATGGGGTTTGTCTGAGAATGAACTAAATTTTAATTGAAAATTCTTAAAAATAAATAAATAAACATAAGTGGCACACAATATCACTTTGAAATGACGTGCTATAGATATGACCGATACTGTACTTACTTAACTTAAGGCCTAGTACATAAATAAGTACATATGCGTAGTACATTCAATGTCTATGATCACTTTGTACTGAAAATTGTATAACGACCTCGACTTGAATAACATTAGATCACATTTGAATAAACCGCTGAACATGTATGTACATACATACATATGAAATGTGTAGGCACTCGCGTTTAATTACGTAATGTGCACTTGCTTATGTATATGCTTGTTGTCAGTTCGTTGGCGTAATGTAATGAAGACCGCAGTAATATTGCATATTTGCTTGGCAACACAAGTACATGAAGTTCATAAATGCCAACGAATATGGGTCATAATGGATAGAGTCAAACAATAGGAATCGCTTAAAGAATTGATTCATTGTATATGTAAGTATGTACATACGAGTGAGTGCATGTCTGCGTGCGAATGCTAGCACATTGTTATATTGCTATCTATTTGACAGCTCGTGAATTCAGGGCATGCACAGAACGCACTAATACGCGCATATGCCTTGAGGGTGCAACGGCATCGGCATCGACGACGGCATCGACGATTATATCCTTGCATACACAATCCAGTTGGATATGCCTGTTGCCCCGAGGGGTTGATGGCTTTGTGAAATTGTTGTTGCTGATGTTGCATTATACGCTCTTTATTGTCAAATGTTGTGTAGCAGCCAACTAACAACGCCCACAGCGTAGTATTTGTAGACTCTGGGTCTGTGGTATTATCAATACAACAATGTATATATATTTGCTGTAAACACTTGTCTTCCAAGCGACCACCCACTAAACATCCTTGCGTGCAATACCAGTCGCATATACATACATATAAACTATATTTTATATTTATGGCCATCCACTAATCGCCCCAGTTAGATTGGCGTCCCGCACACTTGACGCCCACGCATCGCCGCATGCTTATCAATAACAACATGAAGTAATATCAATATCATAAAAAATGAGAAAACTAACCGCATGTGTCATAGTTTCCATTATTAATGCGATTTTTTCTATCTTTCCTTTTTATATCTCTCATCCGTTCGTCGGCTGCTTTGGAATGCTGCGTATTATGATGACGTCTCAATACTTGTGCGCCACTCTACAACATTGCATGGATTGATGAAATATGGCGGCGTTTGCCTTTGCATCCTCGTTGTTGTTGATTCGTCTCAATTTTCCTACTGTCGATATGACAGACTCCGACACTGGCGGCTGGGGACCGTGGAGCGAATGGACACCATGCTCGACGAATTGTCTAGGTGGCACGCGTAATCGCTATCGGTTTTGTGACTCACCGCCACCGCGATATGGCGCAAAGTTCTGTGAAGTAAGTAAATATATACATATACATATATGTAAGTGTAACTAAACAAGTGTCAAGGATAGCGGAAAACCAAAAGCAAAACATACAGCAGTCAGCCAACCCCAGAATCCCCGCACCAAGCAATCTCTTAAATGACCGTAACTTCCACAGCTTCCGACCAGCTAAAGTTTTTTTTCTTTGTTTTTTGCATCCTATCGCTGGACCAACGCATCGTTAGACCACTTTGTCGCCTGGCAAGCCACTGACTAATGGCATTCTGTGGTGCATAATTTAAAACTTTTCCGCGCATTTAGTTAAGTGTTTTTTCTTTTATTTTTCTATAAAGCTAAACGAGTCACATTACCGTCGTATTTTGTTGTTGTTGTGTACGTGCACATTTGTTGTGGGGAAACTTTTAAAGAACGCGTCTGCATTTCTGGTGGATCGAATGCTGCAGTTACTCACGCACATTTATCCCTTGTTTTCCGCTATTCCTTTACTGTAAATTTATAGTTGTAGTTTAAGTTAAACATTTAGATTTTAATGAGTGCAATCAAGAACGGTGTATAATTCCACTGTTGGCAAGTTACATTGTTTGCTGTCGTTTGCTGCAAAAACGTCATAACTAAAAAGATCAAAAATGATTTCGTAGGTGACACAAGTGACCGATAGTTCGAAATTTTAACACTAAGTTAGAAATTCTAATAACTACACCAAAAAAGTCCGAACAACATTCCACGAAATTTTTTTTTAAGCAGTCGCCCCCCTCGGAAATCAAAGTCAAACGTCTGGGTCAAACTGTAGCTTCTTTCAAGGTTAGTCTAGGTTATAGCTCGGTGAGTCACTCAATTAGACATTGCATTGTTTTCGTTACCACTTAATAGATTTTTCCTGAAACTTTGAATGCAAACTAAAGTCCCCAGGTTGCTAAGTGTTGATAAAATTAGAGATATTTAATTCTTAGCATTGCAAGAGGCCTGGCGGATAGAACCATCAGTATAGAAAATACCATTGCCATTTCAACCTTGTGTTGGTTGGTTTCAGTGTTTCATAGTACTACTATGATAGAATGAGCGCATTTGCATTATTTTGATGTACTTTAGTGGGAATGATAAGTACCTATGCCTGTCTAGTTTTCTCGGCCAAACCATATTGATTCCCTAATGAATTTTCTGATGTCACTTAAAGTAGATCCTGAAATATCTGCTAGTTTTGTTTGTATGTGTCTACCCAGCGCTTTATGTCTAATAGCCGCTAGAGCTGAGCATTCACAAAGGAAATGCTGAACGCTTTCCTCGCTACCCTCCATTCGACAGCTGTGGCAAGCTCTATTATATGGGAGTCACATTCTCTCTGCATTGCACGGTTTGCCTATGGACCAGTGGCCCGTAATGGTTGCTACAAATTTAAATACTTCTGCCCTTGATCTATTAAGCAGGTCTGGTGTCTTCATCCTGTTATAGTCAGGCCAGTATTCCCTAGCTATTTTGCAAGTCCAACCACCTTCTCCTTGCCAGCCCAAGCAAATGCAAACTAATTTCTCTTTAAAGGAATACGAGGGGTAATACCTGTGCAACAGCCTTAGATTATTCCAAGTAGGCTCCTGCCGTCGCCGATTAATCGGCCTTCGATGCTCCTATGGTCGGGACCCAGACAATAATTCATTCATTCATAATTCCGTTTTACACTTCTGGACTAGCTGGGATTTGGTGAGCGGTGATGCTAGTGCTAACAGAGACGCTTGACTTTCAGAGTATATTATTGTATTCTTAATTCTGCGATGCCTTCTCCTAGAACCTTACAAGCTTCAAGGATGTCTATGACTTCCGCTTTCTAGACGGAGCGACAAGGAGACGCTGAGTTCCTCGGACTATACACCTGTAGAGAGGGATTGCCTCTTTATCGGCCACTCTGCTTTATCGGCCACATCTGGATAGGATTCTCATCTGTATGTTTTAGAAACTGAGATTAGATATCATATATTCGGTCTTTTGTCGTGATTGTATTTCGTTGGAGCTCGTCCCGTGCCTGAATTGGCTTGTTTCTTATAGTCCTGACATTCTGAGTCTAACTGCTGATTTCGTAGTCACTTCTTTAAGGGGGAGGTCAATAGGGATTAAGTGTAAGATTGTGTTTAACGTCGGGCAGGACCTAAGTGCGCGCGTTGTTCCTGCCACACTGCTCTTTGCAAGCTACCTAGTTTATTTACATTATACTTTTTGTTTATATCCGGCCACCAGACTAGAACCCCGTATATCCACATCACCAGTTTCGGTTTTAGTCACCAATTTCTGCTAAAGATTCTCTTGCCGGCTAATGTATGTTATGTGGGCCTTCTCTATAGGATATTCGATGTTGATTTTCCAGTTCAGTTCGGCGTCAAGCACGGCTCCAAAATACTTCGCGTTAGAAGATAGATTGAGCATCTGACCATCTATCTACGGTACTTTGAACTGGGGTATTTCATTCCTATTTGTAAATAGCATAAGTTCGGTCTTCTCTGGCTTACACTTAGCCCGCTTTCCTTGGCCCAAACGTGTAACTTTTCCAATGCTCTTTCGAGTATTTAGCTTACAGTTCAGAGGAATGGGCCCAGAACTGTCAGCACCACATCATCGGCGTACGCCACAACTTTGTTGAGGTCTTTCAGTATTCCATTCAACGCTATTACCCATAGCAATGGAGGGAGAATGCCTCCCTGTGGGGTGTCTCTACTCACATGATGGGTCAACGAGCCATTACCATTTGTAGCGTGAGTTATTCTATTGTCTAGCATCGATTGTATTCATCTGCAGACACTGTCATCAACCCCCAGTTTCTGCAGGGGATCTACAATGGTGCTGACCTTGATATTATTGAATACGCCTTCAGTGTCAAGAAAGGCAAAAAGAGTATATTGCTTGAAGTGGAGAGATTTTTCTACGAGGCCCACCACTTCATGCAGAGTGGTTTCCGTGGATCTTCCCTTAATATGCGCAAGTTGCGCATTTGAAATGGTCGCTTCCCCTAGCTGCGATCTTGTATAGACACCTTATAGCCTTTCCATTGTTTTAAATAAAATTCCTGACTTAGGAATGAACACCACCTTCTCCAACTTTTTGGAATGCAACTTATATCATGTCCCCACCGGAGCTAACCACGTAGTTATGGCTATTGAGTTGGTTCTCCCGATAACCCACTTGATTTAGCGAAGTTTCGCCATATAAAAATGACAGCACTCTACCATTTCACTGAGATGGTTAAAAGCTAACCAACTCGAAACCACGTCGAAAGTCTGATACAACCCTGTGTTTTCCCGCCATCTGTGGGTCATTAGCGTTAAAATGTAAAGAATTCGTTCCTTACTAGTGTTTGGACTCAACTAAGATCAGATTAGATTTACTCCGGTTTTTGAAAAAATTTGGAATCTACTCCTCTACTCCGCTTGACTTCAAATCTATTCCGTTTTTTTCATTCATGTTATGCCCCTCTTGGGGCCGTTTTTTGAGTGTTCACCACCGGTTTCAGTAAAAAAATTGAAAGTTAGCCAAATCTGTAACTCTTTCATAGCATAAAGTAACTTCGTTATTTTTTGATGTATGGCTGTACAAATTGCCGGATGCAGAACTTTACTTAACTTGTTAAAAAATATATGTAGAATGAAATTTATATAAAGTAGAAAAGGTTTGCTTTTTAAAAAATTAAGTGTTAGATGCGTTCTACTATATAGGAAATGCTAAAAATTACCTAAATATGTAACATATTATCCTTACATTGCCCCGCGTTCTTATTTTGCATGAATAGAAAATATTTTAGTCAAACAATTAATGTCAGAAACAAAAATAAAAAATTCAATCTAGTACAGAAAATTTGTTTTTGCTCCGATTTTTGCAGTAATTTAGTCCGGAATCGATTTTTGGAGGTCCGAACACTGTTCTTTACATTTGTACTGTTTTATAAACCTCAAACCGCAGTGTGGACAGCAATAGTTAGTGATGTGGTTAAGTTCGATTTGAGATGGTTAACTTTTTGTGGGACATGCACTTAGAGTAATGGTGCCTTTGAAATATAGAGCTTAATAGTAGTTTGTTCCTTTACCTGTAGCATTCCCGGAATTATACCATCTAGCGCCAATAAAGAAGAAAGTGATTCACAGTTTTTGTTTTGCAGAAAATTGAAGTTTACATTTTTTGTTGTTGTCATAAATATTTCAGTTATTTTATGTGAATATTCTATATTAACTTTTTACTTTTAATTTGTTAAAAGTTTTCATATTTTGTTAATAACGGCCAAGATTCGCATTTAATTAAGATAACACTTGCTTCCGCCGATCATATCTCATTTCATTTACTTAATCAACACATTTTTCATTTCAATTTAAGTAAGTTTGTTCAGGAAATTAACTAATAAAGCCCGCTACTTAATTGCAAGCGGAAATCTATAGTGAGCCAAGCGGAAGCGCTCGCTGAGAAAACTTTGCAGAAACTTATTACGCAGTAGTTAATTACACACTGAAACTTAGTTGACACGCTTCAGCCCAATGCTCTTAAGTGCAGGTTACTGTACCGACAACAATACTGCACTCAAATTAAAAGCAAAAGCAAAAGACGCGAACAACAAAACACTTTTGATATAAGCGGATTGTAAAGATTGAGGCACAGGGTGCCACCTATTGAGGAAGTAAGTAATCATAAAGATTATAAACTCTGTGGAAAATACTTGCATTGGCAGCAGCCGTAAAATGGGTGAGAAAACAAAAGCAGCGCACAAAAAAACGAAGAAACACACAAGAACCACAAAAAAGGAGGCAATATATGTATGGGTGAAAAAATGTGTGTTTTAAGTGCCTACTATGTGAAATAATGCGAAGAACAAGAAATATACAGAAACAAAACAAAAACCGAATGCATAGTGTTATGTTCAAAAAAAAAACAAATAAGGCAAATATTTAGTAGTGAGTAAAAGTAGCTAACAACAGCAATAACTCATTGTAAGTGAAATTAGTTTTTGCGCTAAACAAAGCCCGTTTTTTCCACCCACATGTACATATACGCATACATATATTGTAAAGAAAAACAATGCAAATGATAACACTGACATGCGTAATATATTGTTCTCGCATGTACTTACATGCATACATATATTGCGCTTGTTGTTGTTGTTAACCCATTTTTAGACATTTTTGTTTTTCGTTTTTTTTTTTTTAATTCACATATAGTACAATAGCTACTACATACTATAATGCGGCAAATAGAGGTTTACTTTTATGATGTTTTTGTTTTTGTACATTTTTTTTCCGTGTTTCTTTCATTTCCGCCCGCCGCAGAGTTGCATTTTGTCTATATGCGGAAATTATAATTTCGCGCCTGACTGCTACACCAACGCCATGCTGGGCGTTCAACGGAGCCACATCAAAGCTGTCAGATGTCGAGCGCCCTAAAGAGAATGGGTGATTGTTGGGAATTTGGAGGAGGCGGCAGCGATGTTGGTGAACAAGTTGGCTGGTAAGGGTTTCGCCTGAGTATGAAAGCTCTGTCATAAAGCGATTTGTGCCGGCCAACGCAGCTATAGTGTCTGTGTGCACAAGCGCTTGCCTGAAGCATTCATTGCTGTTCTCTTTATTGTTGCTGCCTTTTGTTCGCTCGCACTCGTGGTTAGGCGTGCGGTTTACATTGTTGTTAAGCGGCGCTTGCTGTTGTACTATATGAATGTACATAAGTACATGGATAGTTTATTTGCCTTTAGGGAAGGTGTCAGCGTTCCAACACTTGAACTAGATTGTGCTGAGAATTTACGACGGGTCGGTTTTTGTGTTTTTCTCTTCTTTATAAGGCAACGTTGCCAAAGTCAACGCCAACGCAACATCCTCCATCCTCGTTGATGACATCATCAACATTGTTGTTTTATTGTTTGCTATAAAGTAGGGGTTTTTTTTTTAGAGGTATACACATTCGCAGATCTCTACATAACCAAACAAACACAGCAACAGCAACCACTACTCCAATAAGATATGTAAGTGGAAGGCAACATCGTTGTTACAATTCATAGCAACATTTGCGGGATGCGACCCACAGGGGCAAGCATGTTCGCACAAGAAGGTGTTGCTGAGTAGTTCGCATTACAACTTAATATGTATATTAGATGAGTATGGGTGCTGGCTGGTGTATATTTACAAGCTACATTGTTGGATCTTATTTATAACAGTATTTAAAATTATTACGAGAATCTGTGTGAAAGTTTTTAGTGCAAAGCGTTGTTCGCGAAGATCAGCGCAACGTAGAAAGCTTTTACATGTGTAACTAAAACTTTTAAGTGGCAGTGCCATAAATGGACGCATTGTTGGATGGACTGAGAGTGGATGCTGCAGTGTTTTCATATTATTGAAAAATGCAGTAAATATGTATGGTAATCTGGTTGAAGTTTAGTGATAACAGCTACAAGTTTTCGCACTACTTAAGCCTGCCTAAATCGGCCAGCTTATAAGTCGCTGTCTTCAAGTCCAACTCACCATAAGGGAAAGAAGTTTTAGTTTGTTGGGTTTCAGAGAGGGGTCAAGTAAAAAGTTAGTTGGTTATCATTTGGTTCCGAATTTGTTAAGCGTCATAATGGCCGCCTGGCTGTCGTAGTATATATATGTATATATATATATATATATATATTTCAGTAGCAGCGACAACAGGTAATTTTAGGCTGTCAATAGCTTCTTATATGGCCACCAGTTGGGCTTGAAATATTCCCAATAGTTCCATGAAGACGCCCCCTACTATTTTGTTTTCCAATTTGTAGCCGTCTGTGTAAAATCTTATGGCGTCTTCAGGTCCAGGTACTCCTTCTATTCACGATTCTCTGCTTGGTATAGCCATGCTAAAACCTTATTTAAAAGTGAGCATTGGTACACAGTAGTCTGTTTTGCTTCGTGATTGCTGGTTGATAGGAATTACCGCTGTCTAGCTTCTAAGCTCCTGCAGTCCTAGGCCTGATTTCACAGCATATTGCCTTCCCATAATATCCACGGGTAGCACGTTTACAATCGAATTAATTGCCTAAGTAAGTGTTGCAGGAGAGCACCACTAACGCACCCACTCCACCTTTTGTAATTTCATAATATTTAATTTCTTCCCTAGTGCTGGCCGCCATAACACTACCCCATAGTGAAGTATTGGTCTCAACACGACGGTGTATATGCTTTTGGACGATTTCCCCTTTCCCTTGCTTTGGACGATTTCACTTTTGGACGATTTCCCCTCCACAGCTATATAAGGCAACGGTGGCCTTCCGCGCCCGCTCTTTGGTGTTTTGAATTCAGATTGATGGTATTTTGCAGATTTGCTTGGGTTTATCGTGGTCTGCGGAAATTTACCGCTTCCTTCTAGCGCAAGATCATTTGCATACGTAAGCACTAACCATACACGCTTCCCCTTCCATGCCACACAGCTATGTGTTTACCTCTGCGACCCATAGAAGAAGGGATAGAACTCCCCCTTGCGAGCTGCCCCTTCCTACGAATCTGGTCTATGAAACCTTAGGTTAGGTTACGATCAGCCAGCTAGCCACGGCGTTGCTTCGCAGATACCATCAGGTTTGAAATAGTTACCATATAAACCACGACTACATTAAAACGCCCATCACTGAGTACCAGGAGTAATGTTAAAGAGCATCGCAGTCCTCTTATAAAATTGTAAGACTTTGTTTTACCCTAGTTTTGCAGCATCTTCCAGATTAGGTAGAAAGTCTGCTCCTAGGAGACTAATCCGCAGACCGCTAGGGCAGAATACGTGCAGCGGATATGTTCCATTGTCTACTTTTTTGTCCCACATCTCCTGCTGATCATTGGTCAGAGCCAATTTAAATGCATTTAAAACGCCAACCAGTAGCACATTTCTCATTAAGGGTATTAAGATTTTAACAGCTCTTCGTTCCGTCGACAGCGGCTTTCGCCGTCGCAAAACAGGCAAGGGCCTTTAAATCTTCCGTAAAACAGTTCTCTCGAGTACTCCAAGCGCCGTTTCACTGACAAATTTCGGCGCCACCTTAGCTGGCAGGCCGTCAGCTACTGCAGCTTTGTTCTTTTTCCGCAACAAGATTTACTATGCGACAACTGCCTTGTGATAAATTGGTTAAGAAAGTATGTAACTTTAATAGGGACTTTCAAACACTTCATCAGTTTGCTATCTTCCAAGACCTTAAGTGCTAATTCCAAATATGGTATCCAACAATTCGTGGACCTTTGTTTACATACCGTCAATTATAACCCTGCACAGCAACTTCAAAGATACATTGCTTGTTCGTTGATCGACTTGTTTCGGTAGCTCGGCGCTTCAAGTTGGCCGCTGACAAGCGTGCTTGTCGCGTAACAACAGTATTATGAACTAGTTTTTGTGCAACTATAATTGAGTTCTAAGTACAGTGCTTAAAAATATGCAAAGTTCACGCACAAAACACTTGCCGGCGCATTAACATACTCGTATGCATACGCTTGAGGGCGACGAGTTTTTGCTCAGCAGTCTGCTGTGTGCTGGTATTTAGCGCACACTTAACCGGCACGTTGGCAACCCATGGCTGCTACACATGTACATATGTGTGTTAACAATTTGGAGAATATGTAAATATGTGTGCGCATGCCAACTTGTTGCGTGGTTACCAAGTAACAATGTCAACATTTTTACATTTGTTTGCTCGATAAATGAAAACAAATTTCTGAGTGAAAATATTTTCAAGAGCAACGTTGACGTGTCTGCAACGGATACACTCAAAGGACATTTATTGATAAAAATCATATTTTAAACTATCTAAACGGTTTTCTTATAAATATCTAAAATTATTTCAAAATTTCGTAAATCTACATATGTATCTATTAATTACACGCAATTCGCGAAGCCGCCGCAGATTGTAGTTCAAGTACGCTGTTAAAATGCCACCGAAAAAAGGAAAAGGAAAGGGCAAAAAGGGCAAAAAAGATGAGAAGAAAGACCCAAATAAGCTGACCAATGTGGATCGCGCATTCTGCGATCTTACCATCGCCGACCTCAATCAGAAACTAGCACGCCTCCGTAGTCATCTCGCTTCTTTGGACGACAACAATATAAACCTAAAAGAGAAGCTGCGCGAGATCGAAGAAGATCACACCGATGTCGCGGCGCATTTGGAACGCACGCTCGGCGAGCGTAACGAAACAATTCATGAGCTCGAGGAGCGACTAACCGAGATCATTAAAATACGTGAAGCGGAGAATCTACAGTCAGCGGAGAAGGTAAAGGAGCTAGAGACTAAGTACAAGTCTATGCATGACCAACTGACTTCGGAGATTAAGCTGCTCAACGGTAAACTAAACTCGTTGGATGAATTTCGCGTGCAACGTGATATGCTGCTTGCCAAATTTGACGACCAAGAGACAGAGTTGAAAGAGAAGGAGCGCGCTTACGTTGAAATGGTTTACACCATGGAACAGAAGGCTGTGGTCGAGAAGGATGCGCTGAAAAAGGAGGTAGAGACCAAACTGCTGCAAGTATCTGAGGATTTCACGCGTTCCAACGAGATACGCAATGCCGGCTACACACGCGTCTGATACGTGAGAACATTGCCTTGCAGAAGGAAATTGATATATTGGTGATGTCACAAATCAAAATGCAACAACAGTTCAATGAACAAGTCATACGCCACAAGGAAATGGCTGAGCAGTATGCATCGATGGACCAGCTGAAGAAGCAATTGATACGCAATTCGCAGAATAAGATCAAAATCATCGAGAGGCTCACCGATAACTATGAAAAACTTAAGGCCAAATATGTAGAGGTGGCAAGGTATCGCAAATTGTATGAGACAGCTGTGAAACGTGACATTTGTGAGCGTTTTAACTTCAAGGATATGTCAAAAAAGATCCGCCACCTGGAACAGCGCGTCGAGGAATTGAAGATGGAAAAATCGCGCTTCATTGCAATACATCAGCAGCACGAAACGGAGATCCAGCGATTGCGTGACATTATCATACAAATAAAGACCACCGTACAATCGGCCATCGACGCCATACACAGTCCGTGTGGCAAGGAGCGTGGCAAGGATAGCGTCAAAGAAAGTATTTCACAAGATGCAATGCGCCAATTGAGACGTCATGATCTGCTCACCCAGTTGATGGAAATTGTGAGTAGTCACTCGGACGAGCTACCGCCAACGCCCTCCGTGCTAACAATCTCACGTTCCACCTCCAGCGTCTATCGTCCCGGCAAAATGGGCTTACTGCCGCGCACCGCTTCCTCATTGATGGAGATCTTTAAGCTCACGGCACACAAGGCCGCCTCTACAGACATTGCTGTGACCGAGTATCAAATACAACAGGTGGAGAGTAAGATTATACCAAAAGCACGTGAGTTAGGTGGTCAAAATTTATTCGATGTGGAAATGGGATCCACTTTGTATGCATCATCTTCGCACGAGGAACTCGAAACAGTGATGCCCGTTGAAGATGCGCAGGCGGAGGATGAGGATGAGGGTGAGTCCAGTAGCGTCGACTACGGTTCGTCAGCTACTCATACCACAGTCAAACCATCGGTGGTGTCCATTCCGGGTGGTGGCGACGGAACACCGGACACCGGCGAACGGCTTTCAGTGAGATCTTCGCGGCCATCACGTCGTTCGGAAATCGGTGAATCTGGATCGCGGCGCGCTACGGAATCAGGATCACGTGTCTTGTACGATGTTGAGTATGACGAAGGCGACGAGGAGTATTCAATTAATTTGTTTTATTAAAATTGTAAAATAATCTTTTTTTTTTGTAAAGCAACGATGTATGTATAAATGTATGTATGTATTAATACATGTGTTTTGTTAAAAAAATTATAAATATACATATAGACTATTTGTAAAAAGGGAAAGACACAGAGTTTTATTAATTTGATGTAGTTGCAATATTTGTCTTTCATTCTGTTTATGTATTTAAATACTTACATATGTATATATTTAAAAGTGCATATTAAACGTTGTTAAAATCTTTGTTTTTTTTACTACGCAGGGTCCCTCGGTGGAGACCGAGAAATGCGGCAAAGCCATCGCCGATACTTGGGATTGCATTTACGAAAGCAGTGGAGCAACTTTTACAGCGCCAATCGTACAGAGGTCAGCCAAGAGATCGGACCCGGCTGTCGTTGCGGCTGCATTGTACACTTGGGCTCGTCGAAATCAAAACGCATTTTGGCCGGTGCCACACAAAGCTGTCCAGGTCGCTCATTTTGGCTTATACAGGTAAGTGCTGGTAGTTTCTATGAAATTGCAACAAAATTAAATGGAAGTACAATTACTAGCAGAAAAATGATTCCTGCATATCGATGGCTGAGTGGAAGATCGAACTATCTCGGCAGCCAGTTCGAAAACGCACTATCTCAGAAAGGTTTTCAAGAATGTCCTACTTCAGAATTTGATTGAAGAACGCCCTATTTGAGAATTTTATAGAAAAACACCCTATCTCAGAATTCGGATCAAAAACGGTAGATAGAGCGTTTTTGAATCGAATTCCGAGAAGGGGCATTTTTCAATCAAATTTTGAAGTAGGGCGTTCAGAAATCAAATTATGAATTAGGGTGTTCTAGAAAACTTTCCTGAGATAGGGCGCTTTCGAATTGGCTGCCGAGATAGGTCGATCTTCCACTCAGGTATCGATATGTGGCTTTTTGTCAGCAATTATTTATCTTCCTTAACTGAAACAAAATGATGTGAGCGCGCACCCACAGAGGCTACGGATTTAAACCCCAAACAAACTAAGGACCATAAGCTAAGAATATTTTCCTACGTGACCTTAGAATTCCTACGATTTGCCTTCCTCGCGTAGCAATTTTTCGACGACCTTGGCGTTGACTTCCCCTTATAGCCTGAGGTGTTCGCTTTTTACTTAGTGTTTTCTTGATCTTCTATTGCATTTATCACCTAACTCTTTGCTTGCCTAAGAACTAAAGATGTTAAAAAAACTCGTTTTTCAATAATTTTTTGATATTTAGCGGACAAGGAGGTCCTCAAACCTAAAAGTTGTAAGGAGGTACTTTTCACCAATCGATGCGCATCGAAATATGTTAATACCGCAACAATTATGCTACAAGAAAAGTCTTTAAAAGTTGAATCTACAAAAAATTTCATCAATTCGGATTTCATAAATTGGCATTGTGGTAAAACTGAGCGCTTGCTACCAATCCCTGATTTTTTATTTCTTTTCACAGCACTTTAATCTATAGAAAAAGCCAGAGGTGGAATTCGATTTTTTTATTATTAATTTTTATATTTTTTTTTTTGTGCAGGATGCATACAAATGCAGATACATATGTACATATGCATGTGCCTCTCTTAATAAAATTCCTGCGCGTATTTCCTATTTTTTACTTATCCCCTAAAATTTCAAATTCCTCCCTTGTGTCCTTTTGCATTGACAACGATGATATGCATATTGAAGAACTTATATGTGGTTTAATCATCTACTTCAAATGATTATCAAATGAATTGAAGTGCAGACATACATACATACATAGTATCTACTTATGCATATATGCCCTACTGTACACTAGGGGTATTCTCTGAGTCTTGCAAAGCCCTTGCACGGTGCACGGATTGCACGGTTTGCAAAACTGTCCCATACGAAAACCGGTTTTTAGCGTGCAAATTACTATTTTTCTGCTTTCATTTGCACTGCTTTAATTTACCAGCATCATTTTTATCCTCTTATGTGCATACATACATACATATGTACATAGCTCTAGAAC